ACCCCAAGATGAGGCAAGACAGGCGCTTTTAGGCCTCTGCATTCCAGCTCTTGATGGAGACGCTGCAAATAAGTCATGGCCGGCCACTGAGATTCTCCCACGTCGAGGCTAACTCCGGCATCTTTGCTGGGGCAGGTGGTTTGGTGGGTTGGGAAGAATTCCGTGTATGTGCACTCATGAAGATGGTTTTGTACACCTACCAGTGTGGGTGTCCTCCCTCACACTTCCCCTTCTTTTCTCTCTTCAATCCACCCCAATTCATCTTTTGTCCCTGTTGTTCCATGAAAACACTCTTGTCAAAGTACCTTTCAAGTGTTGGGAGGATCCTCCCAGGATGGGAGAAGCATGCTGAAAGTAGACTATAGACCAAACAGGATTGCCACTCAATGTTTCTTTTGCAAACCACAACACCCAAAAGGAGAGAGAGAACAGAGACAGGGTGGGATGGGGGGATGGGGGCGGGAGGGATACTGGGATCCGTGGTGGTGGGAAATGGGCACTGGTGGAGGGATGGGTATTTGATCATTGTATAACTGAAACCCAAGCACAAAAATGTGTAAGTCTACAACTGTACCTCATGATGTCTCACTATTAAAAAAATTTTTAACAAAAAAAAAACCCAAAGTACCTTTCAACCTCCACCAAGAGACAGACCAAGGTCAAGTCTCTGTAAGAAGTAGCTGAAGCATCTGATGTGCACCCCATGCCATATCCCTGCCAGCTTCTTAAAGCCCTTTCTTCTCCGTGCCTTGTTCCCTGCATCTTGCCTGTTTTCTTTCTCTTTTTTTGGGGGGGGGGTCACACCCGGCGATGCACAGGGGCTATTCCTGGCTCATGCACTCAGGAATTACTCCTGGCGGTGCTCAGGGGACCATATGGGATGCTGGGAATCGAACCCTGGTCTGCTGCGTGCAAGGCAAATGTCCTACCCGCTGTGCTATTGCTCCGGCCCCATCTTGCCTGTTTTCCTTCATAGCCTTCATTTCAGTGATGATCGGCTCTGGCATCTGTCTATGCCTCTCTTCTCTTCTCCTCCACATTTTTCTCCCGGTGTGATTTCACCAATGGCCATGGATAGGGTGACCCACATTTCTCTCACCCAATCCAACCCCACCACTGAGTTCCCTGCACAACTTCACCTGGATTGGGGAACTCTGTCTCAAAGTCTAAAATGGCCAATGGCACTTCTTTGGGACCCCTGTCCCCCTCCTCTCCCTTATGGCCCTTCCTTTGGCAAAGGGACAGCACATACACTAGTCTACTAAAGGCAAGCACAGGTAGGTCCCTGATTCCCCCCACCTTGCATTCCCCACCCACAATCTCGGTATGAGTGACTGTCACAGAAACCCCAGTGCCACCCTGCTTTCTGCTGGTCCCTTCTCTGGGCCAGGCCTTCTTGTTCTAGGACCACAATGACTGTCTTCCAACAAGGCTTCCCTGCTCCCAGCTCTCTCCTATGCCTCCTGCAGAAATCAGATTCTACATCAAGAACTGCTTAAAACTGCCCCAGAGATTCTCACTGAAAAGGGAAAACCAAACCTCCCACACTCCAAGGCTTTGCCAGACCTCATGCCCCCCACACACCCTCTCTGCGGCCTCACACAAGCCCCTCACACCTCTCCAAGTAGTTCCCGTCTTGTGGCCTCTTCACCTGCTGTTCCTTCTACTTGGGGGAGTTTCTCCGGGATCTTTAGGCCTATTCACTACCTGACGTGAGCCCTTTCGGCTATTCATTTTCATAGGCTTTTGTCTGCCTCTGCAACCCCCCACTCACCCACAGAGAAGAGTGGGAACTCTCTCCAGCCTTGTTTACAGCCATGTCCTACAGAGCGTCAGGCAGGTCCTGACTTGCAGGAGAAGCTTCACAGACACGGCTGATGGATCTGACCCTGGGGACTACCCGCCGAGATTGCTTGAGCTAGAAAAGAAACAGTCCACCTTCGTGGCTGGGAAACGGAGTCCCAGAGAGAGGCATGGGCCCAACAGCGCAGACGCAAAGCTGCGCCCACCAGCCAAGTTTGCCGGCCCAACCCAGAGCCTTTCTGTTTGCTTGTGTATCTGTTGTTTGGTGCTCAGGGCTTCCTTCTGTATCCGCACTCAGGGTCCAGGGGTTCTGGGGATCAAACCCAGGGAGGCTGCATGCAAAGCAAGCTCCCTGCCCACTGTACTATCTCTCTGATACCCACTTCTGAGAATCTTTTCCCGTGGGCTGAAGGCGAGGGTTAGTTATTTCTTTTTCCGGGAACACCCCTGCCAGATTATCAAGAAAGCAGATCTGAGAATAAATTTTGCCACAAGATGCAAATATCTAGAAAACAAACACTTATTTGCAAGTAGCCACAAAACTGGCTCACACAGTTCTGAGAAGTCAGGTGTGGCTCCTGTCTGTCTCGAAAGGGAACAGGAAGTCCTCCCCAAAGGTCCTGGGCTGGGGCGGGAGGGTCTTGGGCTGCAAGGCGGGGTTCGAGCATCCAACACATCCAGTTCTCCTTTTGGTTCAATGTCCCCGCACCTGGCATGAAGGGAAGAGACCAGATGCTAGAAGCAGGATCCAGTTAGACGGAGAGTCACAGGAGGCCACGGGGGACACACCCCTCGGGACAGAGGACCCCACCAAGGATTCAGTGCAAGGCAGCCTCCCTAAATCAGATCCTTGCACTCTGAGCAGGCTGGGGTCCCCACACCATTTCGCCACTCCACACTGTTAACTCCCCCCAAAGGGAGCCTCATTCCTGACTGACTGAGCTGATGCCTTCCCTGTGGCATGCCCAGGGGCATCCGTGCAGCTTCTGTGGAGACTGAGCTCGGGGGGGAGTGGGCCTGAAGTCTCTGCTTCACTCCAGACATGCTGACGTCACGCAGGTAACTTGATCTCAGAGCTGGTGGAAGGGTTCAGACTGTGAAAATGCATCAAGGGTCCTTCTGCCACCTTCCTGCACTGGAGCTGACTGATACATCTCAACCAGCAGCCCCCCCGGGGGTGAATGACCTTCTGGGGGTGGCTTTTCTGCTAAAATGCCAGCTGCCCTCTTCCCCTTCCCGGCTCTCTCTAGCTCAGCACTGTTTGGTCTGGGGGTCACTTTAAAAGTTTCTGGACCCAGGGGCTGGAGAGACAGCACAGCGGGTAGGGCGTTTGCCTTGCACACAGCCAACCCATTATCCCAAAGGGTCCCCTGAGCACCGCCAGGAGTAACTCCTGAGTGCAGAGCCAGGAGTAACCTCTGTGCATTGCCAGGTGTGACCCCCCCCCCAAAAAAAAAGTTTCTGGGCCCTTTTACAGTAATACTGATTCCCAGGTGCTCCATGTCAGAGATGCAGAGACCTTGACAGCTCACCGGGGGGGGGGGGGGGGGTTTCTGATCTGCCTGTCATAGCACCTGTGGTACAGATTGCAAAAGTCCAACAGGAAAAATCAATGACAACACCATGATAAACTAGTCTACTGGCCCCTAAGCCCAGACCACCTGGTCAAAGAAGGAGAAAGTTGGAAAACGAATGCCGTTTCTTCTACTGACTTGGAGTCTCTAAACATGGCACAGTGCTGGGGGTCAGGATTTGGAGGGGGTGGAGGAGAGGGACCACCAAGGGACTCAGGAACTCAAGAAGGGCTGTGCCAGACCCCCCCCCCCGCCCCCAATCCAGGCTCCCTCTGGAGGGGCATTTCTCTGTCACTCCTCTGGGCATCTTATAGGGGGCTCAGCCATCTGTGAGGGCCTAGGGAAGACTGGAATGACGAGAGAAAGCCCAGTCACGGCAGGGTCAGAAAGCAGAGCAGGGCAAATGGAACAAGGTAAAAAAGCAAGGCAGGAAGCCGATGCTAGTGGCCACCCCTCCCAGGCCAGGCGCTATGCTGACCTGTGGGTGGGTGGGTGGGTGGGGACACATATTTCCAAGGTTCAGTGGGCAGTGGAGGGGAGGGGGCAGTAGCAGAGAAGTCAAGGACCATTTCCTCCACCTTGGGAACAGAAAGTACAGCTCAGGCCCCGGGGGAGGGCACCTTAGCCCTGAGCGCTGCATTTGGAGGTAACCAGGTGGCTGGCTTCGTCCCGGGGCACAACCCCTTTTGTACCCAGAAACTTCCTTTTCACCCCTCTCTGAAGGCACTGTCACCCTCCCTACCTTACTTTCTTCCTCTCTCCCTGGGCACCTTTGGGAGTGGGGCGCTGTCTGGACAGGACAGGGGTGCCATTCCCGCGGCCACCACCAGGAGCCACGACCTCTGGGTCAGTGCCATTACTAGGAACACCAACTGTCTGGCTCTCCCTAGGGTGAGCGTGGCCAGGGAGGCAAGCAGGGGTGAGTGTGAGAGGGACCCCCAGCCCCTCGTTGACTCCCTGCTGGCTGAAGACAGGCCCGTGGGCAGAGGCTGGGTGGGGTCTACAGGACCTAGGGCTCCAGCTCTTGGAGGTCACACCCGCTCGGGGTTGGGTGTGTGCCAAGGCCGGGCTGCAGGTGGGTTTTGGCCAAGAGGGGGTGGGGGTGGGGCGCATGGGACACCTCGCACCTGGGCACAGAGCGGGGGCTTCTCAGAGGCTGGGGGAGAGTCCCCCTGGGGGTATAACTGCGGTATAAGTGCCACGCCCCCCTGGACACCGCACTCCGGCCCCCCAGGCGGGACAACTCCGCTTCCTCATTGCACGCACCTTTTTTGCACACTTTGAACAGCGGGGAGGCCGATTCCTGCCCCCTCCCCAGGGTCCGCTCTCCGTATCCGCGTCCCCGGAGTGGGCACGCCGGCCCCGTCCCCCGCGCCGCATTCCCCCACGACCCTCGGCGCCCGAGCACCCACGTTGCCGGCGTCGCGGGAGACCTCGCCCCCGCGGCTCCCTTTCCCCGCCCCTGGCTCCCCGGGGTCCGCGGCCGAAGCCCCGCCCCCGCCCCGCCCCCGTCCCGCCCCCTCCAGGCTCTGCTCGCGCCCATTGGTCGGCGCGGCCGGCTGGCGCGCGGCGGGGGCCGTGATTGCGGCGCGCGGGTGTCAGTCACCCCGGAGGGCGGGCGGGCGGGCAGCCGCAGGTGGGGATCGAGCCCCGGAGTCCCCGAGCCCCCCGGCCCGCAGCGCCCAGGATGCCCCGCGGGGACTCGGAGCAGGTGCGCTACTGCGCGCGCTTCTCCTACCTCTGGCTCAAGTTCTCGCTCGTCATCTACTCCACCGTCTTCTGGGTGAGTGCTCCCGGGAGCACGGCGGCGGGGAGGGCGACTCCGGGCCCCGGGCAGGGCAGGGCAGGGGCGCCCCGACGCTGACCCCGCGGCCCGCCCGGCCGAGCCCAGCCCAGCCCCAGCCCCAGCCCCAGCCCCAGCCGCGCCTCCGGGGCCCCGAGCGGGCGGGCGATGCCGTCCGGTCCCCTGCGCGCACCCGTGGCCCTGGGCCCTGGGCACCGCCGGCCGCGCCCACCCCGCCGGCCCGAGCAGCGGTCAGCCGTGGTGGCCTGGGGCGGGCGACCGGGGCTCCCCGCCCGGCTCCCATGATTTGCTGGCCAGTGCCCCTGAGCCGGCTGCTGCCCTGCAGAGCCGGGGTTTCCGCTGGACCCCGGGGAACGTGCCCACCTGGTCCAAGGGCTGGCTGGGAAAATCCCCCGGACCCCCGAGTCTGCCCACTCCGATGGGCCCAGTAGCAGCCCTCACCCCACCCCACCCCGCCCCGCCCCGCTGCCCTTTGCTTCTCGGGTCTGTTGGGGGCTAGAGGTCCGACTCGAAATTGGCGTGGACGCCTGGCTATCTACCACCTTCTTCGCGGTCTTGGGGGGGTCATTGCTGCAATTTGCAAATTGCTGGTCGTGGTCACAGCAGCTGACCTCCACAGGTGGGGCCGAGTGACACAGGGGCAGGGTCAGTGCTTAGTTAGCCCAGGCCCCCGTGAGGCCTCCAGAAGGGAGTTGCTCTTTTGGTTGTGAGCAGGGAAGCTGGGCTGTGTGCGGTGCGGTGCAGGGGCTGGGTCTTCGGTGGGGATTGCTGATGGGTCTGGGTGCCACCTGGGAACCAGGACATCTTTCTACAGGTTTGCTCCTGCCACTCTAGTTAGTCCCCTGCCCCTCTGGGGGCACAGACACCTATCTCCCCCACTCCCCAAACACTCTGGCCGCCTCAGCCCTCCTGGGACCTTCTCTGGTGTTGGGGTGTAGTCTTGGCGCCAGAGGGATAGTACGGCGGGGAAGGCATTTGCCTTGTGTGTGGCCACCCTGGGTTCGATCACCAGCATCCCATATGGTGCCCCGAGCACTGCCAGGAATAATTCCTGAGTGCAGGGCCAGCAGTAACCCCTGAGCATAGCCAAGTGTGACCCAAAAAGCCAAAAAAACAAATTTCGTCTTGTCACTGACTCACGGAGAGGTCTTAGACAAATCACTTTCCTGTTTGGGGCCTTTGAGCTGACTGAATTTCTCATCTGAAATATCCCTAGAGATTCAAGGTTGAATTTTGATGTTAGATGATTGTTTTTAGAGATGGCTAATCCTATCATGATATTCCATGACAGGTGGGAGGAGGGTGTTGGGGTGTAACTCAGGGATTAAGCACAGCCCCACATGGGTGAAGCCCAGGGTTCGACCCCAATTCCCCTCTGACAATGCCCGAACAATGATGTGGAGTTGGGATATTCTCATACAATTGCGTTCCAGTTCAATTAAATTTCAAAAGAATTTTCATCTATTTTTAAACTGAGGGGCTAGAGCGATAGCACAGCGGGTAGGGCGTTTGCCTTGCATGCAGCCAACATGGCCGACCCGAGTTCGATTCCTCCGCCCCTCTCGGAGAGCCCGGCAAGCTACCGAGAGTATTCGATATGCCAGACACAGTAACAACAAAGTCTCCAATGGAGACGTTACTGGGCCCGCTCGAGCAAATCGACGATCAACGGGAGGGCCTTTACCTTTACCTTTTACCTTTTAAACTGAATCACAGGGAGATAACACAGTTGCAAAGTTGTTCATAATTGGGTTTCAGTCATATAATGGTCCGACAGCAGTCCCTTCACCAGTGCAGCACCCACCCCCCAGGCACTTCACTTCTCCCCCTCGCCCCACCTTAAAATGTAAGATTTTTGTTTGTTTGTTTGTTTATTGTTTGGGGCCACACTTGATGGTGTTCCGTGGTTACTCCTGGCTCTGCACTCAGGAGTTACTCCTGGCGGTGCTCAGGGGACCATATGGGATGCTGGGAATCGAACCTGGGTCGGCTGCGTGCAAGGCAAACACCCTACCCGCTGTGCTATCGCTCCAGCTACGTATGTCAGATGTTTTAAGCCATGGTATAGCAACATTTATGTTCTTCAATTTTGGGGCCACACCTAGCTATGCTCAGGGCTTACCCCGGGCTCTGAGGCCAGGGATCACCCCTGGTGGGGCTCCAGGGGCCACATAGGGTGTCAGGAATGAAAACTGGGGCAAACGGCAAGCAAGGCAACATAGCAGCATTTATGTTTCGTGATACAATCATGTTTGTGTATATGGACACATACAGTTGAGGTTTTTAAATAATTTTTATTTAGTCACCTTGAATTACAAAGTTATTCATGATTGAGTTTCAGACGTACAATGTTCCAACACTGATCCCTTCACCAGTGTCCAGTTCTCTCCACCAGTGTCCCCTGTCTCCCTCCCACCCACCAACTCGCCTCTGTGACAGGCACTTTTTCAATACATTTTTGGCACCGTGGCATAGTTGAGTTTTGAACAACTCAGAGGTTAGCGGCACCAGTCTTCTGCCATGAATATCTGTGTGTAACTTTTGACACATCAAAAACTTAACTGCTAATAGCTTGTTGCTAACCAGAAACTTTGCTGATAGCAGAGACAGTCGATTAATACCTTTGTATATGTGCCATCTCACCCGTACAGCAAAGCCTGGCAAGCTACCTGTGACGTATTCGATATGCCAAACACAGTAACCACAAAGTCTCACGATGGAGACGTTACAGGGCCCGCTCAAGCAAATCAATGAACAACGGGAGGACAGTGCTACAGTGCGACAGTTATATGTGCTATGTACTTACCATGAAGTAAGCTAGGGGAAAAGATAGCCCAGCTCCCAATCCAGGTCTCCGAGTAGGTGATGTAGAAGAGAGATGAAGTACATTTAGTTAGAGGATGGCACTTGGATTATAGGTGGATGTTCTAAGACAGTGGAGGGTGGTTATGTATTGGGATGGGGGCAAGTTGAGTTGTCGTTCAAAGGATTCAAAGATTCTCTGTCTCTCTCTCTGTCTCTGTCTCTGTCTCTGTCTCTCTCTCTCTCTCTCTCTCTCTTTCCTTTTGGGCCACACCCAGCAGTGTTCAGGAGTTACTCCTGGCTCTGCATTCAGGAATTACTCCTGGCAGTGCTTAGAGGGGACCATAGAGGTATTCCGGGGACCGTGTGGGATGCTGGGTCAGCCATTTGCAAGGCAGGCGCTCTACCTGCTGTAACTAGTTCTACAGCCCAACAAAGGTTCTCTTCTTAATTTGCATCAGAATCAACTGGAATGTTTAAAGACCCTTATAAAAATTTAAATTAAATTGTAGAGGCGGGATTGTGCCAGGAGAGGTGATCTCACAAAGCCCCTGATTCCAACTCTGGGGTTCTCTGCCTGTCCATCACTTTCAGCTTCTGATGGTTAGTTGGAAGGGAGCAGACGCAGAGGAATAGGCGACGACCTGAAAATCAGGATAGACCAGGAACCTAAAGATGGGGAATATTTCCAGCTTCATCCCTTTTCTGTGTTTGTGATCACTTATCCCATTCTTCACTTCCTTTAACCTCTGCTTTCCTGTCTATGAAATGGGTAACCGGGGTCCTGCCCCTTATGTCATTGGGATGTGGCAGGTAGATCCCAGTCCTACACAGAGTCAAGTCTCCTGGTTAAAGGAGGCTTGAATTTTCCAGGTCTGTCTAGTACTAGCCCTGCGCCCTGACTGACCCTGACCCTGTGCCTTCCCTGGGGCAGGGTGAGACTCCACCTTGGAATCCCGTTGCTTCAGCCAGCTGAGATTGTCTTACCAAATCCTTGACTTCCTGTCACTGGAAGTATTTCTGCTTAAAAATCCCTCTGCTCATGCCAAGAACTCAGCCACTTGCCAGCTCTGCCAGGCAGCTCCCGGTGCCAGAGTTTGGCCGTAGGGCGGAGGCCTGGTGAGTAAGTCATTTGTCCTAGATTGGGATCTGTTCATTGGAAACCATTAAGAGAAAGTCCGTTCTCTCCGGGGCCATCCCTGAGGGCAGGGGAAAGGAGGGAGGGGTCTGTGCAATGTACCTTTCTCGGAAGTGTTCCTTTCATCTCATCCTTTCTTTTGAGAGCATATTTTTGGGCTGCACCCAGCAGTGATAAGGGCCTACTCCTGGCTCTGTGCTCAGGACTCATTTCTGGTGGGGCTCAGGGGACCCTAGGCGGTACTGGAGACCAAAACGAGGGTGACCACGTGCTGACTAAGCACCTTAACCTCTATACTGTTGCTGTAGTCCTCACGTAACTCTCAAAAGAGCCCTGAGTTTTTCCAGGCACCTCCTAGAAGCCTTTTGGCTTTAAAACGTACCGCCAAGTAGGAAATTCGAGGACACCACTTAAAAGTCCAAAAATGTAGTCATCTTTCTCCTACTCCTCTCTGCTGGTCTGTCTCATCCAGAGGGAACGGTGCTATTTCCTGGGCCTCTTCTCTGATCCTTGGCGTTAGGATGCCCTGGGCACTACCGGTCCTCTTCGATGTATTCTTTTCTTTCCCACACCGAAGGTCTCCTTCTAGGTACAGTTCCGCCCTTCTCCCTTACTTAAATTCAGATCGAGGTAAGGTGCCCAGCTCTGCTAGCAGCAAAATCTCCCCTTCTGTTGGAAATAATCTCTCCAAGAACTAGGAGCTGCCTTTCATTTTGTGGGACGAACTCACTATAGGCTGCGCCAGGGTTTATGGGATCTATCCCCCGCTGGGGAACTCAGGTTGTTTCCCCCCTCTAGTTATTGCTTAACATGCTACAGTGAGCATCTGAGTGGTGCTTTACATGGGTATGTATGTCTGCAGGGTCATATCTAGAAGTGGGATTTCTGGCTTAGAGGACATATAAAGGTACAGTAGAATACAGAAATGCACTGATCTTAAGTATGTATGAATTTTTGCAAAGTGAGCAGAGTGAGGATATATATATATTATATATAATTATATAAAATATATTTTTATAAAAATATTTTAGCATATGTT